AACGTATTTGTTGATATCCCTTTCCACTATGGTGATTCATTTATGTTGATGTCTTCTCCTGGTGCAAACAAACACTTCTGTGCCAACAGTGGGCCTTGGCTACCTTAAATCATATTTGTCTAATGCGTTTGTGTGTGCGTAGCGGGTGTCCTCATATGTAATGAATGCCAGAGTGTGTTTATGCTTCCTCTTTCTGGCTTCTTAATTCGTCTGCTTCACAGACAGTAGGCTTCTCCTGATGTGTGGGAAATCCATTTGACTGAGAGCACTTCCAGTTGTTGAAACAAGGCAGGTCTGGGCAAATCAATACACTGTCTTTCATTCTCATGGCACAGAGATGGGGACATATTTCAAGGAGCGCGGTTCAGAAAGACTGTGTGTGAGTGTGTATGTGTGTTTATACATCTGTGACTGACAGGCAGGGCAACGTTACACTTCATATATCTTGTCTGTCAACTTTTATTGCCGATGGGAGCTGGGCTGGTTGAAGGCACTGAGATGGGTTTTTCACATGTGTGCACTTCAAAAAGAACTGTACAGAACCCAGCACCCAGAGGACGCTCCTAGATCCCCAAACTTCAGCACTGAGAGACTTATATATCTGCCACTTTGGCCTGATCTGTCTTATGAGATACCCAAGGGCAGGACTGTGCTGTATTGCTTCCCTCCATATTTTCATTTACACAAAGAGAGGTCTGTTGGTTGATTTATCTGAGGAATTGGCCGAGGGATTAAAAAAAAAAAAAAAAGAAGTACATGTAAAGGCAAGTGTCATTTGTTAATTTAAGGAGAAAAGGCAAGGTGTGAAAAATCATCCAGTAATATATGGCCTTCTCACAAGAACATGGTTGGAGAATTAGGTGAAGCTCTGGAGAACGGCCCGCTAATTACATTATCGCATAGGTAGAAGCGCTTGTCAGTTTCTTCCCACTTAGATTCTCCCCTTCACTCTCAGGATGTGGGAGCTGCCAGACGGAATTTGAATTCAATAATATGCCAAGTGAACCATGAGTCTGTCATACAGATGCTGCAATGGAAAGAAAAATCTCTTATATAGTATGTCATGACTTTTGCAGAAACAATTTTGTAGCCGTATAGAGTTAACTTGTGCATCCTTGTCCATAATAAATCCATTTAATTTGCTTTGCAAAAGATTGGACAGTGCAAATCAGAACTTTAAATGAGCAAAACAGGACACAACGGCAAAGTGTGCACTTTCAGTTGATATTGACGTTATTTTCCATTAAGGATAATAGCAACTCTGATGGAGGATTAAACTGCATGAGGCACTATGGAGTTTTAAAGGTTTTAAAAATCCAATATTTCATTGAGTTTACTCTGCTTTTATTCTCTGTTATTTAGTTTTGTGCTCTTTATTGACTAAGAAGATGTCTATATTTTTTTTAAATATATATTTTTCCAATTGTTTACAACAGAAATACTACATAGAGAAAATCATTTTAAATGTCAGGTATTGCTGGTTCTCTGAAATTCATTTATTAAAGGAATAGTTCACCCAAAAGTGAAAATTGTCATCACTCACTCACCACCAAGTTGTTCTAAAACAAAACTTGTTAAATGTGTTTCTTCTGCTGAACACAAAAGAAAATATTTTGAAGAATGTGGGAAACTGAATAGTTGTAGCCATTGACTTCGATGGTGTTTTTTTTTTTACTATGGAACTTAATGGGGACCAGCAACTGTTTGGTCCATCATTCAGAACTTCTAAACATGTAATATTTGGCTCTTAATTATCTTGCTGTAAAGGATGTGCTTTATAAATGTGTATTGCAAGCATAACTTTATATGAGTTACTTCCTTCTTAAGATAAATCGCTTTGTTCCTCATTTGGGTAAATTAATAAATCAGTGTCACATTAGTGACTCTTGCTGTTGTTTTAGAGCTCCCAGACAGTGGCTTGATTGCATGCATGCCACAGGTGGCTGACTGGTAGGTGGGGAAATGCAGGAAGTCTGTGTGGCCGTTTGTGTGTCAGGCCCAGCATGTTTTTCCCTCAGTAGAGGCGAGGTATCCTGTATGTGTGCAGCCCGTCGCCCAGGGCGGCTAACTTTCAGGAGCCCCAGTGGCAAAAACAGCACTGTGTGTTTCCTGGTCTCTTGTGCTGTTATCAGTGGACACGACACCCGCTTGTGCCCCTGCAGGTTTCCTAAACCACCATCCTTTTTGCCTCCGGTGTCAAGATGTTGCCCTGTGATTGCCACAAGAAGCTTTTCTCTAACGCACGCTGTGCACAAAAGAGATCGGATTGAGTCCTTGTGATAATAGAGGGTAGGGTCTGTTTGTGCTGATCTGACACAAGCGTGTTTCATTCAGCCGGCGGCTCGCAGGCTCCCAAATTGAGAGGCATCTCACCGAGTAGTCTTTGTCTGAGAGGAACAAAGAGTCAAACCTGCACATCACGAACTAGTGAGAGAAGTTTTGTCAGAGTTCCAGACTTTTTATGATCTCTGAGAAAACACAACTTGTCAAATGAGAAAATAAATACCAAGAATTAAGCTCAGTCTTTGCATGAACTGCATGAATAAATCCTCATTTGAGCAGCTGTAACAAGAGGAAAACATTGTTAACATGAGTACAAGACATATTTTGAGCTCCGGCCAAGTTAATGGTAGTTGCCAGAATGATTTCATAATCATGTTGCAGACCCTTATTGTAAAAGAAACCCCTCTAGAATATACATATCTCACTTGAAGCATGCAACGTATGGGTCGAGTTGGGGTTAAAAGCGATATTTGGGAGAGGGAGTCTGCTAACTTCATGAACGGCATCTGTGTGAAAGAGGCTGTTATCATCGGGCTGTAAACGACGCTTCTGCTTTTCCTGGCTTGGCGGGCCGAGATGAAGTCCAGATGGTCGGGGAAGTGTTTGCCCAAGGATGTAACCAAATATTCCAGATTGGGGGGTGGGAAATGTAAAAGTTGAAGAAAGGGCCATTGAAAAACTCATATTGATTGACTACAAATCTGTTTTTTTGGCTTGGGGTTGTTGGGGATATCTATGGCCCTGTTTACACCTGGTATTAAGGTCTTGGGTGATCTGATCACAAGTGGTCAGCTGAGAAACATCGCCGTTTACACTTGGTACTAATGTGTTTCCATGTCTTCTTTGTTTGTACACTTTCTTTACAGCTTGTTGTGGGGAGGAGTACATGTACTACCTGAAGAACATTTATTATTTAAAGGGGTCAAATGATGCGATTTCAAGTTTTCCTTTCTCTTTGGAGTGTTACAAGCTGATTGTGCATAGATGAGAGACAGGGTCGCATCACAGTGGAGTCAGCTGTCTTAACCGTGGCTTGTGTACTGCAAACACATACCAGCTTCATCACTGTGTCTGTCACGCGACTCTGTTCCCCTTTCGGGCTTGAACTGATGGTAAAACTAACGACATTATTAACTGTCTTGATATTTACTTTGAAAGCTGACGCTCGCGATTATGGTAAGGGGCGTTACATTTCCGACGCGTGCTTGCAGACTGCGCTTGTCGGAAGGCGGGACTTTGTAGAAAACGAAGCGTTTGAGAGAGGCGGGGCATATAGGACGTACAATAATGTACAGTATTTGAAAAATAATGTGTTTTTTGAACATTAAAGCATGTCAACATATTCTGTTACACCAAATACACAAAATAAGGATCTTTAAAAAAGCATCATATGACCCCTTTAAGCCTGAAGTATACTTTAGTTTTTCAAAGTATGTAGTCCACGCATGGTCTATATTTGATAGCTTACGCAAACACAGGCAGTCAACACATGCACACTAGAAAGTTTCAGCCTTGTTTAAAGTCTGTGCTATTTCTCTGCAAAATTTATGAGCGATAAAAAATGTCTTTGTCCTCATTTAAAATAAACTTGAGTGCACCTTAACCAATTCGCACACTTCTATTGTTTTCTATTGTTTTTGCCAACTCCAGTAGTTTGTTGTTGTTTTGATCTGTCTTCTCTTTTTTTCTACTTTGAAACAACAGCCAGGACTAATTACTGCAAAAAATATAAGTTCAAGGCGCATGTGCGAGCTAAGCATACAAAATATGCACTGTTAGAATCAGGCTTTATGCTACAGTACTGATGACGAAATTTTCATCAGCACACTTTGCTCGTACCCTATGTGTTACATTTCTCTTGCGTGTAACATACGTGTAAAAACCAAAGAATACTTATTTTTGATTTAATATATTATTATTTTGCATTTAAATCTGTTTTTCCGAAGCAAGTTTCCATCGCAGAGTAAAAATAATAATAATAATAATTGCAATTTCATTTCTATATTCTGTTACGACTTCCGTCATAGATGTAGCACTCTCCAAACAGATGTTTACACAAGGTGTAAATGGGGCCTATGGGTCAGTGTTTGCAAACAAAGTAGTTTCGCTTTCACAACGAAACACACGGTGGCCTAGTGTGAGCGGAAGCCACGGCCTAGCGTGAGCTGAGGCCAGGCTAGAGTGAGCAGAGGCGCGGGCTTGAGAACGGCGCGGCCAGCAGATTCGACGAAGGAGCGGCAACCACATGTGACGACCCCGGATAGTCCTTTTTTGGAAGACCAAACAAAGTAGTTTCGCGTGTTAGAACGAGCCATTTTAGGTAGGCGTGGTTAACTCTTAACTTTTATAAGAATATCTCTTTGGATTTGAGACTTTAGTCTTTGCAACTTTACAGATCTTCTTTATGCACCAAGAGCTTGTAACACTCCAAAGAGAAAGGAAAAATTGAAATCGCATCATATGACCCCTTTAAGTTAAAGCAAGCTGTGTGACAGAGAGAGAGAGAGAGAGCAAAATATCACAACATACCGTATCGTTATCATCCCCTTTGTTTCTCATACAATCTCATTTATTCCACTATATGGAGTTTATCCCATAAACCTGTGCACATTTATGTCCAGATGCCTGTTGCGTCAGGATCCGCCCACCGCTAGAGAAAGCCCCGCCCACGCTGCACCTGGGTTTCCCGCCGAAGCTCGCCGACTAGAGGCAAAGGATCACAGCTTCTGCACGCAGCCGGGCAGGCGTTAGAGGCTCTTCGGAAGAAACCGTTTTCCTCACTACTTCGCTGTTCTCCAAATATTTCTGACTCTTGTCGCACACTAGGATCAAACGTTTTTGTGTGTTTCGTGTTCATGTATTCGGACAGTTGAAGGAAATCGCCGCATTAAATGAGTTGAGCTCGACACACACACACAGCATCATCCTCTCGTCAGGTTGAGCTTCATCCGAGCCTCGGGCTCACTGCCCTTCTGCACACTGGAGCGTCTCTAGAGCGGTGCACTGGAGTTTGACGGACACATTTTCTTCTTCATCTTGGAAGTACACGTTTAAGACTGAGAAACATCACTAATATATCAACTGGAGTCGAGGACAGGAAATTAATTTTTCTCTGACAACGCCGTTACGCATGGTGGGAATTTCTACCTCTTTTCAGTGTAAGTCGCTCCGTTACTGGCTTTATCTCTATTTCCCGTCATCTCAGATGAATACTTAAGTTACTCGTCTGTACACTTTAGCCACGTTTAATAAATTTGTTACGATGCTTTATTTTACATTTGGGTAAATGACAAACACTTTATATTATTTTTCTCTCGCAGAATACTGTTAACTTATATGTCTGTTATATGTTCGGTTTGCCCACATTGCTTAATGTAATATTATTTACAACGTAAGGCGAATATCACCTATACATAATAATACATAGAATTGTCATATTTAACGTTACCCATATGATTTTAAATGGCCACTTACCTTTTTGTAATGATTCGCTGCTATAGATATTAACAATTAATTAAAAATGAACGTTGTACAGTTACCTCTATTTGTAAACAATGAAAAACATCGCTCATACAAGCTTTCTTTCATGTTACGCTCATTAATCTACTCTGGATTTTATGGCATATTTCATATCATCTTTATCGCTTTGAAATATATTTTATCGGGTTTTCCCCTGTAACTAAAGGAAAATTGTAAGAGAATTTATGACAGTAATTCTCGTTGTAAATTGCAATACTGTAACTTATAACTATAACGTTATATATGTTTCTGTGAAGATGGATTATGTGTTCTGTCTCTTATCTCACGTGCTCCATAAATTCTTTATCTTATATTCTATAGTTTTGCAAACCAAACACAAAACGTAGGCTAGGTCTTAATGTACGAATTTTAATGCAGCTTCTAGATTTGTTTAGAATTCGTAATTTTCTTTTTTCAAATATATTATAAGAATAATATAACAGACATTGAACTTATTTCTACAGTAATTCATCACAACATTCATAATAATATATGAAGTAAACCAGTCAAACACTAACTGGCGATCAGCATGTCATCTGTTGGCCGAGTGTAATATCACCTCCGTCTATAAACACATTAACGGTCTCTAATAAGCTGGAATTGTTGCTGGCCAGTCTGCGAGCTTCTCACGCGTTGCAAATTTGATCAAATCAAATGTTTGATTGCAAGCACAGGTAAACATCTGGTGTGAGACATGAAGAAAATTGTGACAGCATGATGCATTTAGAAGATGCTTTATAAAATGTTGATAAATAACGTTTTAGAGGACGCGTTTGACAACTGGGATATGACACTGGATTAAAAAGCTATGTTTAATTGTGACAGAACAATCAGTCACAGTTGTGACATCACAATTTAGAAGATGTTTTTGACAACAGTGATATATATTTTGAGAAGATCCATGACAATTGTGGATTAAGATGCATCTGAGAAGTGTGATTTCACAAAGGTGTGTTTAACAATTGTGATATCAAATTTGATGAACGGATCCGTTGACAACTGTGACATCACAGTGAATTGACGAAATGAGTCTGCCAATTGTGATATCACAGTTGATTGAGAAGCTGTATTGACGACTGTGACTTCACAATGGATTGAAAAGATGTGCTTATCAATTGTGACTTAGCCAGCTTTTTAAAAAAGCTGCTCCTGTCACAATTGTCAAGCTCATCTTCTCAATCCATCATCATGATGTGAATAGTCTGCTCTTGGCGCTTAAGTTCTCTCTTGACTGAAGAGTTGATCCTTTAAAGTTTAAAGGCTGGATGGGTAAAAGTTGAAAATTAAAGGGTAGAATTTTATTTTCCTTGCCCTCTGTGGCAGTCCGTTTGTATTTAAGGCGGAAAAAAACCCAAAGGGATTTTGAAGAACTGCTGTTCCCTTGACGAAATTTGCTTGTTCTCACAGCTTGTGTTGCTCATGTCAAATTTATGCTTTTTATTTTTGTATTTAACAAGATAGTTTTCTTTAAGTAGATTTACATTTAATTTTCCAAAAGGGGTTTATTTTGCTTTCATAGTCATGCAGTTCAGGTTTTTTAAGATATGTTATTCCCTTATATTTGTGTGATTCAGAAAATAGAGGCTAATGACCAGCAATAACTGCTGTAACTATGACACTCTCCACTGTGAATTGGTCATGCACCTCATTCAGGTCTTTGCCCACTGCTCCTGTCAACACGAGATTCGATCTGGAGACCAATGTACAGTGCAGGTAGTGAGCGTACCTTGATTAAAGGCAAACATAGTGTATGGTGGCCAGAGGTGAGGGTTCGGTGAGCGATAAGCACTGTGTGTGTGTGTGTGTGTGTGTGTGTGTGTGTTTGGAGCCAGGATTAGCAGGCAGAAACATCCTCTGGCTGAGGCCATCTGCACAGCCACCAGCCTGCCTGCCTCACACCTGTTCCCCTCTCCTCCACTCCCACTGGCCTCACGCGGGTCAAACGCATGAAACCAGACACTGCCACAGCATAATGAAGAGATGACTCGACTGCCCACACCAACACACACAGCTGTGTGTGAGAGAGAGATATGGAAATACTCATCCATTATTTTTAGGTATGTCCGGGAGATATTTACTCATATTGGTTTAAGCTTATATGTAAATTGAATACATATTTTCTGTAAGGATGATCTATAAATACGCACCATGCATCACTAGAAATTAATTAACCAGTCAGTGTGAATCTTTTTTTGTTTTTATCGGATTCATGAAAGACGAGCATTGCGTGTTCCAACCACTGATAAATGTGCTTCTCATTTACCTTAAACGCAGAGCAGCGTAAAAACATTTGTAGTTAAGTGCTTACTGTGTATTTTAAATGACGAACAGCAGACGTTCTGGCCGAAAGCCAAGCGTGTTATCATTGCAGTAACTCATTTCATTAGTGATGTCATTAACCCCATACATAAACTGGCAGACATTCTCACCAGACACTTGCGCAAATACGCAGCATGTCTCGTTGCTTCACAATTTCTCTTTCATGCATGTTTAAATCAAAAACATGCTCTTTGTGCATAAGGATACAGAAACACACACTGTAAATTTTGCAGCGAGCAACCGGTATGTGTGCAAAAAGGTCTAAGCTGGCAGACCATATAATTTCTCTGGATGAATAAAAATTGTAATAACAAAAGGGAAGAAAAACGAGCGAGTTCAGTTACGCGACATCAGCCAAGTGCATTATATGCGCTCTTAATGTTTCAGCTCTTAAGGGAAACATTCCCAAAATGCATTAGCGTTATTTCACTCGCATCTCTTTCCATTGAGCTATATCATGTATGAGGCTCTTTATATTCATTGAGGGCTACTGTTGGACTTGCTGACACACTCAATCTTTGGCTGTAAATAAGCGACGTGAGTTGTTGGGCTTTGTCAGAGGGGAGAAAGGGCCCTTATTTGCGAGGGCTGTAGATTTGACTCGACGTGAGTCTCTGTGGAGGGCAGGCCATGAATGATTGAGGCGGCCGTCATCTCCCAGAATCCGTTCTTCGGATCAATAGGGGGCATAATGGCTACAAATTTTTCAAAGTCTCTCGCTCGCTCGCTCGCTCTCTCTCCCCCTCTGTTTATTTTCCTGCCTCCATCTGGACCAGGCTGATATTGTAATCGCCCTAATGCACATTGCCTTCCCCTTAGACACACACACAATGTGCCATCCTGACAAGCCCCTTTATATTTCAGATAAGCCTGGGATGTGTGTTTAATGAATACAAAGCCGTGGTGTGTCGCCGTGCACTCTGCCAGAAGGTAATCTTATTGAATAGGTGCTTTTCAGCGATGCAGAAGGCGATAGCGCCGCAGGAGTGAAGATGTAACCTGTTATCTTGCGCCTCCTCTATTTTCCCGTCACAGAATTTACATTTAAAGATTAGCTGTAAAAGGGTAAAATATTCAGGGTGGTGAAGGTGTCAGGATGAGTGTGTATGTGTGTGTGTTGAGGGGGGGATGGGGTGGTCCAAGGGAGCGTGACTTTAGCAGGAAGGAATGAAGGACACACACAAAAAAAAAAACACAGGCTCTGTCATACAGGTTGTATCTGGCCTGCGTTTCAGCCTCGCGGCATCGCTATCTCTCTCCAGACCGACTCTCTGCTCCCTGGGAACAGAGATTAGCACATTGTTATCTGTAATTGGGTTTTGTCTGTGGATTCAGGGGCTGCTTTTGCCAAGGAGAAGGTGAGAATGGCACATGACCAACATTACGCTTTGGCATATCAGTGTAAAGGCATGATTGATGGAGAATATGGACTGTGTAATGGCTTCATTAGGGTTTACTTCTTTTTATGAGGTAACAATTGCTGAGGGATGGACTCGGCTCTTGCAGGAAGTCTATAAAGCTTCTTCATTAAAAAGGGTGACAAACTGCCAAAGAGACGTCAGAAACATCCTTTCAGTGACGTTTATCCTTTTGCTACCTTTACAGTAGCTTATAGCTAGGGGTGGGCAGTATGACCAGATCTTATATTTGTTCATTTCATGTTGAGTTATTTTGCTGGACTTTTAACAAAAAAATCCTTTATATATTAAATAACCGTGTAATAATGCCTGGAATAATAAATAATGTGTATAATAATGAATAATCCAAGTGCACACCAAAAAATAGTTTTCATTTGATCGATTACAGTGTACCTTTAATTACTTTTCTTTGATTATTTTTTCTTGATGTAAACTGAAAGCTATGATTCATAATAGTAATGCACCAAATTATTTTCTTACTGAAGCATAGAAAACCGAGTTTTCTTTTGGCCAAAAATCAAAACTGAAAATGAAGTTTTAATAATTACATGTGGGTAATTGAATTCTTTATGTTTTAAGGTAATAAATTAAACCAGTTGTAGTAAAGTTCTTTGGCAAGGAGCTGTCTCAATATTTCAGACAACAAATTTTACATATTGTTACTCTACCATAATTTTTGGTCATGGTGAAGTGCGTCTAAAGTGTTGACATGTTTACCTATTGTAGCTTATTCACGTCATGTGCACGAAAAAGACACTGACAAAGTCAAAATGTCATCAAAGAATTGCTTATTCAACTGTTTCGATCAATGATTTTGGCCATCCAAAACTTTTTTGTCATGAAAAATTAATGATGATTCTTGGAATCAGTGCAGAAATAGACTCACATTACATTACACTTGA